GTGGCGTTGAAGAAAACGCTCAAAGTAATATTGGGCCTCCAAGTTGGAGACATTACGTTTCTCCTCTAACATAAACAGGCATGACAGTCGGCTGGCTGCTTTTGCATGTACTCCTTCTTGTTTCCATTCAGTTCCAAACAATCCCTGCATACTCAACAATTCTTCCGGGCCCATCAACGAAGAATTTTCGGAATTGTTTCCAAGCCCAAAATTACTGTCAGCTTCTTCGTTGTCAGGAAAATCGATTGGAGCTTCGGTTGCAGTTTTCCAAAGGACGAGCCGATCCAATTCCCTCAGGCGGAGCGTTGCCATGCGGCAAATTGTCACTAGCAGCCGCACATGTTGCAAGAAATCATTCTGCACCTTCGCAGAAGAATCAGATGGGAATTCACATTTTTGCATATTGACAACATGCTCAGTGAAAACCGCCAACGGATTTTCAGTGAGCGTTTGACCGTCCGTGCTCGAGGGCGTGAAATGCTTTTGAAAGTCTTCCTTCAGAGATGGAAGCCCAAAATTACTGTCAGCTTCTTCGTTATCAGGAAAATCGACTGGAGCTTCGATTTCACTTTTCCAAGGGAGGAGCCGATCCAACTCCTCCAGGCGGAGCGTTGCCATGCGGCATATTGTCACTAGCAGCCGCAAATGTTGCAAGAAATCATTCTGCACCTTCGCAGAAGAATCAGATGGGAATTCACATTTTTGCATATTGACAACATGCTCAGTGATAACCGCCAACGGATTTTCAGTGAGCGTTTGACCGTCCGTGCTCGAGGGCGTGAAATGCTTTTGAAAGTCTTCCTTCAGAGATGGTCCTAAGGATCCCCAGGCCTTGTTCATCGTTACCTCTGCATCCTTGAGATCATCCATATACCTCCGTATGGTGTCGTCACTGACAGGGAGCGGTGCCCATTCATTGTTGGAGCTCAACGTGGGGGAGCTCGACGTGGGGGAGCTCGACGTGGGGGAGCTCGACGTGGGGGAGCTCGACGTGGGGAAGCTCAACTCGGGGGGGTTCAGCTGAGGGGAGCTCAACTCGGGGGAGCTCAACTGAGGGGATCTCAACTCCGGGGGGCTCAATTTGGGGGAGTCACGCTTGGTAGACAGCCGGAATATAACACCTGACAGGAGTATGAGTGAAATGACAGCAAGCAATGGCATAGTCCCTCCAACATACTTTCCACTTAACTTCCGTAAACCCAATGTTCCATCTTTGGGAACAGTTCGGTCGGTGTTTTCTGTCTTCTGTTGGCTGGCGGGATCGACTTCATCGCCTGCCTCCTGTTTTGGGCGCCACCAATCTAACCATGTACGACCTGCGTCTTCCCCTTGAACCTCCATTATCTACTACGAAGGAAAGTAAATTGGCGAGAAGCATATATTTGCTGTTTGTTGGACAGGTGAGCAAAAGTCTTGAGAAACAGAGTAGTTGGATCGATAAAGGGGCAGAGTGGTGCGGAGTTGGCTCTGGCTGGGGAGTTGATGGTGAGGTTCAAGTAAACTCTCGTGTTAAAATTAAATAAAAGACGGGCATTAAACTACAAAATATGCCCGTGTAAGCACCGGAATGCAGACTGCCACTGTTCAGGGAGGGATTACACTCTTCTGTACGGGTAATCGAAGCTGCGGTGCCGGTACCGACAATTCCGACTTGCTACCGGTTCCTTCAGTTCCTTAAACGGCGGGTCATACAAGACAACTAAACTATTTACAAGCTGTTTCTTGAAGTTTTGTTGATTTAGTGGAGTCTAGTTGCTGCTGAGATGTTTTAGCCAATTGCTGTGGTGTAGCACCTAGCTTTATGAAGAGATGGTATGTTACTTGTATGTTACTGTTACTTGCGGATTTAGTGGAGTCTAGTTGCTGCTGAGATTTTTTAGCCAATTGCTGCGGTGTAGCATCTAGCTTTGTGAAGAGATGGTATGTTACTTTTTTGTTAACCACCTGATATCTGAAGCTCGGAAAAAGAAGACCCACACCCAAGGACGCCTAGCCTCTGAAACTTTACACTTAGTGTACGAAATCATGGATGGAGAACCCTTTACCCTCCTAGTAGACACACGGTACCCATGCGAACGTTCTCAGCTACTGTGTACACTGTATGTACATAGAGCCAAGGAGGATTGGTTCTGCCTTTGCACCGGGGATATTATCCACCTTAGGCTCCAGCAGGGAGCGTTGCAACTTGTGGCATGCCGCCTCTTCTCTCACTCATCAAGAAGCTTTATCTCTAACATCGGGACGCCTGGAGAGTGGGGAGGGAGATTAGCTGCACTGCATGAGTTTTCATCGTACGTATTTTGGCTCTCCTGCAACGCACAATACTCCTCGAATTTGACCCAGGACTTGCGTAACCGTCACAGCCCTGCTATGAACAGTGAAGGTTCAAGGCAACTGTCGGACTTCTGTGTACCAATGATATTGAAATTTCTGAATGTATCTATGGTTTCCCGTGCTTCAGCTTCCTCAAAACCCTCATGGTCTCGTTCCTTGCTGATCTAGAATAGACCTATATCGCATTTCATATGTTGAGGAGCTTCCAGAGTGCGGGTTCCTTTCCTGAACAGTAGTGCCCTGGTGTAGATGTATCTCATATTCCTGTGCAGTGTTGCTTGTTGGAGACGAGCAATAGGGCTCTAGAATTCCCTCATAATCCCCACATCGTGGCAACCGTCGTATCTGGAGGGTTACTGAGGACAGGAGCATTCTTCACGAATTGGCTTCCTGCACAAATACAGTTTTCCGCATGGGTCTGAGCATACTTCAACTGGGCCAGGTTCCTCAACGTCACCTGCCCTTCCACCGTTCGGTTACAAGCAGCTGATTTCCCTCCCCAGATTCCAAGCTTCGTAGGGGTAGTGGCCCAGGAACATGCAGCTGATGGAAGACAGGGAGGCTGTGGAAAGCTGCGACGCACCTTTCTGGAACCCACGCAGCGACAGTGCCCGCATGCAAGCACAAGCACGTACCCGACGCAGCATTCACAAGTACTGTAGGGAGTGGTTGATGACTTCTGCTTGCATTCAGGCCTCCTACTTGCTTGGTAGATGCCTACCATGGCCGCGTGAGCGAGTCTACTGGGGATACACTATGCAACCACAGCCCTGCTTGCAAGCAGAATCCTTCTGTGCTGCCTTCACCCGCACTGTTGACAATTACCAAGGACTTCCGCTTGCGTGGAAGCAGTCTAAGTAAGCGGAAGCTGCCTACCAAATCCATGTAAGTGCTCCTGTGCCAACTTTCGGCACACTATGTAACACTGTGCTACACACGGTCATGCTAAGCAGACCATCTGACACCTGGCGTGTTGTTGGTATTTCGATGTGCCTAAGCACCTACGTTTTCATTCCTTGCTTTGTGAATATAACCCTGACAAAATATGTAGGGAGCATTTGTCCTCTACCCTCATGGATATTCACTTGCGGGTGTGAACATCTGCTAGTTCCCACACTCTTCCCGTACTATTGCATGCACACTAATGGCATTAGACATGTGCATATGAAGGTGATAAGACTGAAAAATGCCAAAAAGAGTGAAGGAGGAAGATAAGTTTGAACTAACAACAGCCGTCTAGCACCATTGGAACCACTCACCTGACCAGAAGGTGCGCATTTGCTTTTGAAGTACGTTTTCGAGGAGTTGTGGTCAGAGTGTTGCCAAAATTAAACGAAATAATATTCGTTTAATTTTGGGTTAGAACAGTAAAATACAGGCTTTGTCTAGCCACGAACAGTTTTGCTTGGATTCTGGGGGTTCAGTGTGGACCGCTCTGGGGGCCAATGCCGCATGGCTTCCGCCTTCTGTTTTTCCCTGCCTCCCTCTGTCTCTGGCTTAGTGATTAGGAGGGTCGCCCTTTTGTTGTGTATTGTTTGAACTTCATGGGGGCAGCGCCTATAACTAGGGATCAGGGTCTACTTTAAAGAGCACCATTTTCCGCTTGCAGTGTTAAGGGTCTATGGCGTGGAATTTACATATCATTCCTGTGTTCTATGTGAAGAGTTTAGGTATAAGGAGAAGGTGAATGCATCCAGTATGCTTCTCATACACGCCCTCATTCTGAGGCTCTAGCCTAGTTGAGACAAATTGTTCTGAGTATTCCCACTCCTGGTTCGTCGCGTCGGCTGCTTCGTTGAAATCATCGGTATCCTTCTGCAGGTTCATGCCTTCCAATAGTAACTGAGGCGTCTTTACAAATAGTCTCAACATGGTGGACAAGCTGTGACGAGCCTGGAACGACGCATCACGAGGAAAGTAACGAGTAAGGCCGTAGCAGTTCTAACTTGTTTTCCACTGGATTTTCGCGAAACAAAAACCTTGCCTTACCTTGGCACTCCTTCGCTCTCTCTAGTATCTGGGCCGGGCTCAGCTTCTTCAACTCACCCTCGTGGTAGTTCCGCATTCAAAAGTGTCGAAGGATCTGTGGCGTGCCGCTGGTCCTCCATTATCTTATATGAAGAAAATTGTTGCAAAACCTGTAGTCTTCTATTGGTGCAGAGGTGTGCAAAACTAAGCGGCGTAGCTGAACAATCTGTAGGGGAATCGCGGGACAGAGACAGCATGGAGTTTTCAAGCTGGATGGAGGTGACGTTCGAAAAGATTTGGGTTCAAATGAGTTGATAAAAGAAACACCATAGTAAAAATGATCCTCATGCGATCATTGAAAAAGTGGTGCAAAACTTTGGCGTAGAATACCTACTGTCCATACAGTTTGCACAGAAGGGCAAGGTCGCATCGGGCAACTACCAATCCGAGTTGCGGACAATCCCTTCAATGGACGGGTTGTCAACGGATCTGCAGTACCAAAGATCTATTTTGGGATCGTTTGAAACTAAGAGGCACTTGCCTTCCCTGTACCCGTTGCTGTTGTTTGTTGGCTCTGTTGCATCGCCGTAACCTGGGTGGTAGTCCTGCTTGCCTCCCCAGTTAGGGGCTCCAGATGCAGAGGCTCCTAGCTGTGGATGGCAATACCTAATCTAATTCAAGTCTAAACGAGTCATCAATCGACTCAAAATGCGGACATTCCCGGTAATCCAATGCGTTTCAGAACTTGCCAATGGACCATCAGAAATGAACAGCCGCGCAAAACGTACCACTACCGGCCTTGATTGGCAAAATGGAGCCAATGGGTACGGTTTCTTCAGAAACCGTACTCTGCATTATTTGAGAACCTCAACTTCCATGAGGTAAGCAAAACAACAGGTGTCTCAGTACCTAATGAATGCGTGCCTCAGCTCAGCACAAATTTAACAGAATCTGTCAAAGCCATGATGGCTGTCATTTGTTTAGGCTGCAACAGGACTAACCGCATGCCCCTATACCACAGACGCAGACCAATTTCAAACAGAAGTGGTATCACCTGGCGTAACATTCAAGAAAAGAATACTGGGTAGACTATAAAAGGAATAATACAATCATTTCCAAATCACCTTTTTGTATACCCTTCTTAAGCAAGACACGCATTTGCTCGTTTTTAGTGAGCACCTCCTGTTCGAATGTGTGTTTATTTTCTTCCTCCAGCTGTTGGATAGCCTTCGTTAGTCCTTCGGGTGTCCAGTTACCCACGCACTCGTACACCTTCCGTACCTTTGCATAACTTGACCTCCCTGCATTTTGACGAAATATTCGAAGAGCTGCTTGTGCGAGAGTTCCAGTTCTAAATTGCTGTCCATTATAGGGAATTTTGTGTTTGGCAGAAGATGGGATGTTTTTGAAGGTGCTATCGCTTGCAGAGGGTTGAAGGAAACTTTCGAACAAATGCCGGGCCTCTAAGTTGCCGATATTAATTCTCTTCTCTATAACAAGCTGGAATATGAGTTCATAAGCTACGGCTTCATCTACCTCCTGTCTCCGTGGAAAGCCGAACATTCCCATCGACACAAGCAATTCTTCAGCACCATACAGCGAAGGAATGCCATGGTTTTCACCACCAGAATTACTATCAGGATCTTCGAAGGCAGGAGCACTGCGTGAATCTTCACTGTAAAAATTACTGTAAGACCCTTCGTGTTCAAAAAATGGCCTGTAACTTAAATGCCGTCCTCCAGTTTCCTCGATCCACTTCAATTCCCTCAGACGAAGCGTGACCAAACGGCAAATGCTGTGCAGCAGCTGCACCTGTTGCAAGAAACCCTTCCGCACCTTCTCAGAAGAATTAGACGGGAATTCACATTTTTGCATCTTGGAAACGTGGTCCTTGATGGTAGTCAAAGGATCTCTTGTGGACGATTGACCGTCATCGAGCGGCGGCATGAAGTACTTTTGAAATGCTTCTTTAATGGAATCTCCTGAGGAAAACCAGGTGTCATTCATCGCTCTCCGCTCTTCTTCTAGGTCCTCCAAGGACCTCCGTATGATGTCGTCACTGACAGGGAGCGGTGTCCGTTCATTGTGGGAACTCAAGTTGGGGGAGCTCAACTCGGGGGAACCCAGCATGTGGGCGCTCAACTCGGCGGGGGTCAACTCGGGGGGGCTCAACTCGGGGGCGCTCAACTCGGAAGAGGTCATCTCTGGGGGGCTCAACTCGGGGGAGTTCGTCTCTGGGGGGCTCAACTCGGGGGAGGCCAACTCTGGGGGGCTCAACTCGGTGGCGCCCAACTCGGGGGGGCTCAACTCGGTGGCGCCCAACTCGGGGGGGCTCAACTCGGGGGAGGTCAACTCGGGGGAGGTCAACTCTGGGGTGCTCAACTCGGTGGCACTTAACTCGGGGAAGCTCAACGTGGGGGAGCTCAATTTGGGGGAGTCACTCAACGCGAACTGCCGCTTCCTAGACACCAGGAAAAGAACACCAGACAAGAGTATGAGTGAAATGGTGGCAAGCAGTGGCGGAGTCACTCCAACCCGTCTTCCATCTAACTTCCCTAAAGTCCCATCTTCCTGAACAGTTTCGTCGGTGTTTTCTGCATTATCTTGGCTAGCGGGATGGACTTCATTGCCTGCCTCTTGTTTTGGACGCCACCAATCTAACAATGTACGACCTGCGTCTCTCCAATAAACTTCCATTGTGTACTACGAAAGCAAATGCATGGGCGAGAAGCATATATTTGCTTTTTGTTGGGCAGGTGAGCAAAAGTCCTGAAAAACAGAACAGGAGAATCTCGAAACAAACCGAGCGGTGCGGAGCTGGCTCTTGCTGGGGAGGTGAAGGTGGTGCTCAACTAAATTCCAGTGTTCAGAATAATTAAAAAGAGGACACTAAATCATAAACTGTGCGCTTGTAAGCACCGCATTGCATGCAGCCACTTTGCATATACGTGCGGGCCTGATCATCGGTGAGTTTCCATGCTCATCCCATGCAACTGCATGCTCACAGATATGCCTAAAGCCTTACATTACACACGTGCATGCAAAAATTATAGGGCTGAAAATATACTCAAAAGAGTGGAGGAGGAAGATAAACTTGATCTAACAACAGCCGTACGGCAGGATTGTCGCCACTCAACACGCCACAAGCTGTGCCATTGCATTTGAGGTACGGTTTCGAGGAGTTGTGTTCGGAGTGTTGCTGCTTTACCTTGCAATAATATTTGTTTAATTTTGAATTAGAACAGTCTTTGTCGAGCCACTAACAGGTTTACTTTTGGGGGTTCAGTGCGAATCACTCCGGGGGCCCACGCCGTATGGCTTCCGCCTTCTGCTTTTCCCTTTCTCTTTCTCTCTCTCTCTCTCTGGCTTAGTGATTAGGCGTGTCGCCCTTTTGTTGTGTATTGTTTGAACTTCAAGGGGGCAGTGCCTATAACTAGGGATCATTGTCCACTTTGAAGGGCCTCATTTTCCGGTTGCCGTGTTGAGGGTCTAGGGAGTAGAATTTTCATTTCATTTCAGAATTTTCGGTGAAGAGCTTAGGTCTAGGGAGAAGGAGAAGGCTTCGACTATGCCGCTTATAGACTCCCTCATTGCAGGGTGTGAATTTAGATGACGAAAATTGTTCTGAGGATTGCTAAGTGTCGTTTATAGCGTCCGCTGCTTCGTTGAAATCGTCGATGCCCTCCTGCATGTTCACGTCTTCCTGTAGGAACTGAGGCGTCTTTAGGACGGCTCTCAACCTACTGGGCAAGCTGTGAGGTTCCCGGAACAAGAGCAGTACGAGGAAAGTAACAGGCAAAACAGGATCAGTTCCAATTTGTTTTGCATTGGATTTTCGGGAAACAGGGCCTCCTTGTTTCCTTAGTGGTCCCTCGCTGTCTCCGTTGTCTGGGCAGGTCTCGGCTACACCAAGTCAACCTTGTGGTGGTTTGTCGTCTTTCAATAACGAAGGACTTGTGGCGTGCCGCAAGTTCCCCATGATATTGTATGAAGGCGAAATAAATGACTGCAAAACCTGTAGTCTTCTTTTTATGAACAGGTGTGCAAAAGACTTAGGCTGCGTAGCTTTACTGCCTCTACGGGAACACTTGCACGGAGACAACTAGGGTTTCAAAAGGTGGAGGTGGTGCTCGAGAATTTTCGGGTGAAAATGAGTCGATAAAACATACGCCAAAGGAAACAGAATTCCCAAGTGAGCATTGAACACACGACGCAAAACTTCAGGATAGAATACCTACTGTTCGTGAAGTTTGCGCACAAGGGCAAGAGCGGATCGGGCAACGACCAGTCTGAGCTGCCGACAGTCCTTGAATGGAAGCAGTGTCAATGAGTCTGTAGATGGTTTGGGACTTAGAGGCACTTGCTTGACGTGTACCCGTTGTTGTCGTGTGTTGATCCTGCTGCATCGGCGTAACCTGGGTAGTGGTCCTGTTTTTCCCCCAGTTAGGGGCTCCAGATTAAGAGCCCCAAGACCCTGGATTCCTATGCCTTGTAATTGCAGTCTAAAATTGTCGTGAAATGACTTAAAATGCGGAGATTCCCGATATTCTAATGCGCTTCTGCACTTGCTGGCCTTGCATTCACCTCCGATGGACCACCAGAAACAAAAACCAGCGCAACCCGTGGGACTCCCCCCCTGGATAGGCAAAGTGAGGCCAATAATGGATTAGGTTTCCTGAGAAACAGGATTCTGCATTTTTAGGGGCCCTTAACTTCCATAATGCAAGCAAGACAACAGCTGTTTCGCTACCTGTTGAATTCGTGCCCTTCATTAGGCACACATTTGCCAAAACCGGCTAACCCCAAGATGGGTGCTTTGGGCTCCAACAGCAATAGCCGCTAGCCCATATACCACAGAAGCAGACCACTGCCAAACCGGAAGGTTGATATCACCTGCCGTAAGACTCAAAAAAGAAATAGGAGGTAGCCTATAGAAGGAATAATGCAGTCATCTCCAAATCACTCATTTGTATGCCTTGCTCAAGCAGCATACGCATTTGCTCCTTTTTAAGGAGCTGCCGCTGTCGAAGTTTGTCCGCATTCCTATCCTTTTGCTGTTTCGTAACTTCCTTTACTCCATCGTTTGTCCATTTACGCACGATACTGTGCATCCTCCGTATCTTTGCATAATTCGTGGTGTCTTCAGAATGACCAAATAGTTGGGCAGCTGCTTGTGCGATAGTTCCAGTTCTAAAGGGTTTTCCACTATATGGGATTTCGTGTTCGGCAGTGGGAGGAATGGCACTGCAGGCGTCTTCTTCTCCCGAGGGTTGAAGAAAAAGCTCAAAGTAATGCCGGGCCTCCAAGTTGCAGTCATTACGCTTTTCTTCTAAGGCCAACTGGAATAGTAGTTTGTGAGCTACTTCGCTTTCTAGAGGCTGTCCCAATTCAGTGCCAACCATCCCCAGGGCAGCCAAGAGGTCATCCGGTGTTACAGACTTGCTGGAGCTCTCTTTACGGCCAGGATTAGTCCCAGGCTCTTCGTGGACAGGAAAACCGCGTTTTTCTTCGAGGTCATTGTTTTCGGCTGCTCTTCCATCTACTGACGATCCCTGCTCACTGCCAACTATCCCCTTGCCATCCGAGACGCCATCCGCGTTTGTCGGCGAAGAATTGCTGGAGGTATCTTCCGGGCCAGAATTGCTACCAGGCTTTTCCCGGGCAGGAGAACTGCTTGGAGCTTCGACATCATTCTTCACACTCTCGTGCCACTTCAAATGCTCCAGACGAAGCGTTGCCATGCGGCAAATACTGAGCAGCAGCTGCACGTGGTGCAAGAAATCACTCCGCAGCTTCGGAGAAGAAACAGATGGGAATTCACATGTTCGCATCTTGGCCACGTGGTCTTTGATGGTCGCCAACGGATCTTCAGTGAGCGCTTGGCCTATGTCGGACGACGGGGTGAAGTGATTTTGGAAACCGTCCTTCACAGATCCTTCTGAGGATTTCCACGCATTGTTCATCTTTTCCTCTGCATCCTTGAGTTCCTCCAAGTATTCCCGTATGGTGTGGTCATCGTCGCTGAGTGGATCCCCTCCACTGCGAGAGACTTGAGTCGATTCACTGTGGGAGCTTTGCATGGGGGAGCTTACATTGGTCAACAACTGATCTTCTGTGAGCGCTTCTCCATCATTGGACGACGGCGCTTCCTGCACAGGTTGTTCTGAGGATCTCCAGGGCTTCTTCAACTTTTGCGCAAAATCCTTGAGCACACCAAAGTACCCGCGTGTGGTGCCGCTATCGAGGGAGAGTAGGTCCCGTCCACTGAGAGAGACTTGATCAGATTCACTGTGGGAGCTTAATATGGGGGAGCTTACATTGGTCAACAACTGATCTTCTGTGAGCGCTTCTCCATCATTGGACGGCAGCGCTGCCTGCATAGGTTGTTCTGAGGATATCCAGGGCTTCTTCAACTTTGCCGCTGCATCTTTCAAAACATCCAAGCACCCCCGTGTGGTGTCACCATCGTGGGAGAGTGGACCCCGTCCACTGAGAGAGACTTGATCAGATTCACTGTGGGAGCTTATCATGGGGGAGCTTAATTTGGGGAACACCAGCTTGCCGTACACCCGGAAGAGAACACCAGACAGGAGTAGCAATGAGAAGACGGCAAATAGCTGCCTAGCTACAAGCATTCGGGAACGGATCTTTCCATATTCAGGAGCAGTTTTGTTGTTGTTTTCTGCGTTCTGTGTGCCGGCGGGATAGATTGCACCACTTACCCCTCGTTGGGAGCGCAACCCGTCTGACAAGATGGTACCTGCGTCTTTCCTCTGAGCCTCCATTATCTACTATGAAAAGAAATGCACAATGAGAAGCCTATATTTGTTGTTTGTTGGGCAGGTGGGCAATGGCCTCGAGGAACATAGTAGGAAGATCTCTAACGGAACAGAGCTGTACGGAGCTGGGCTCCGGATGTGTCGAGGAGGTGACGGTTATATCCAAGTAAAACCCGGAGTAGAAATTAAATAAAAAACGGGCAGTAAATTAGTAAATGTCTCCATGTAAGCACCACAATGCATGCAACCACTGTTCACGATAGGATACCACTGTATGGGATTGGCGGGTAATCGAAGCTGCTGTGCTGGCATCGACAACTCTCCTCTCACTTGCCACAGGTTCGTCCATCGGTGGAACATATAGAGGAATTAAACTATTTACAATAAATTTCTTGAAATTTAGTGGAACTATTTTAGTTTTCTTTGCCAGAATTTCTCTAGCGTTTCTTGTGGTGCGACATGTAGCTTTGGTGTACAGATGGGACGTCAATGTTTTTTCGCCGCCTGCTTAGTGGCTCCGGGGAAAAGTCCTATCACCATGGATCCGTATCCTCTGAAATTTCGAACTGAGGGTAAAATATCATGTGTCAAGAATCATTCCACTTCCTAGTAGACAAACGCCGTGGTACGCAAGCAAAAGTTCTTAACAACTGTGAACACTGTTTGTGCATAGAGCCAAGAAGGCGTGTTTCTCTTTGCACAGGGTGTACTTTCCACCTTGTGTCCCAGTAAGGCGACTTGCAACTAGTGGCATGCCGCCTCCTCTCCCATTCATCAAGGAGCTTGAGCCGCTCCGCCGGGGATGCCTGGAGAAACGGGAGTTAGGACAGAAGTACTTAGTGACCCTTTATTTTGTGCATTTTGGCTTCAATGCAGCTCAACACTCATCAAATAAGGCCCAAGACCAGCGTAACCTTTACTGCCCTGCTGTAAACAGTGACACTGATGTTCCCAGTCAACTGTTGACCAATGATAGTCATACTGAATGTAGGCTTCCACGGATGATTTTCACTCCTTAGGGTCCCTCAACTCCTTCATAGCCTCTTAGCTTGCTGACCTAGAATAAACCTATACCGCACTGCATATGCCGGAGAGCTTCCATAGGGCTGGGTGCGTTCGGGAAAAAGGCGGTGGCTAAGGTGTGTCCATTATTTTCATTCCTTCCCTTCTAATGACGAAAGTACAATCCGCAACTATACTCTGATGCGTGCTGGGGGAGAAAACCCGGTTCTGATGGGGGAAACTCCCTTCACAACCCTTACACTGCGGATTCCGTCGTATCTGGAGGGTTAGGAAAAGCGGAGGCATTCTTCGCGAATTGGCTTGCTGTTAACAAGACTCTTCACCGCATAGGTCTGCGAATGCATAACGAAAAATTCGGCCGCTCTCCCAACCGTTAGCTGCCTTTCCGCCTGGGTGCAGCTCCTAACCAACCTTCATTTTGCTATATATAGGAATGAAACGCTCAAACGTGACAACGACTGTTGGGCAGTTTTCCACTGGACAAGCTGTGACGATCCTGTAACAGGCGCATCACGAGGGAAGTAACCTCGTAGCAGTTCCAATTTGTTCTATGAAGGATCCGCGTCGTGACGCTGAATCTCCATTTGCTAGTAAGATGAGGATATAAATGGTTGCAAAAGCTATTGTCTTTTTTTGGTGGACATGGGTGCAAAACACATAAAGAACTCACCTGGACGATCTCTGGGGGAAAAGTGGGACAAAGACAGTTGGGGACTTTCAAGCTGAAGATAAAAAGATTTGAGTTAAAATGGGTTAATAAAACAGACGCTAAAGTACAAAGAATTCGCGTCTGAACATTGAACACATTGTGCACAACTGAAGGGTAGAATACCTACTGTTCACATAGTTTGCGCAAAAGGGCAAGAGTCGATCGGGCAACGACCGAATTTGCCATGGAAAAGTCTATAGTACCGCAGATATATGTAGTGGAGGGTTTGGGACCCAGAGGCACTGGCGTGCCCTCTACCCGATGCCCTGGTTCGTTTATTCTGCTGCATCGCCGTAACCTGGGTAATGCTCTTGCTTTTACCCCCAGTCTGGAGCTCCAGAGGAAATGCCCCGCAACTCTGGGTGCCTATACCTTCCAATAGCAGTCTGAAAGAGTCACAAAATGACTCGAAGTAAGGAAATGCCCGATATTCCAATGCGTTTAGGGACTTGCAGTCGCCTACGCTGGACAACGAGAAACAAATACCGGCGCAGCACTCACCACTACCTACGTAGATAGGTAAAGTGAAGCCAATAGTGGGCAACACTTCCTGATAAATAGGGTGCCGCATTATTTATTTGGGATCCCGCACAGCCATAAAGCAGACAAGACGAAAGCTGTCTCAGTACCTGTCGGATTATTGCCCTTCGCTAAGCACACATTTCACCACTTTACGCCAATATTGGCGTCATCTCTTTTGACTGCAACAGCCGTTGCCACTAGCCCACGGACCACAAACACAAACCACTGCCAAACCGCAGAAGTCATATCACCTGTCGTAACATTCTAGAAAAGAATTCAGGGTATACTATAGAAGGAATAATGCAATCATTTCCAAATCACTGTTTTGTATGCCCTTCTTACGCAACACACGCATTTGTTCCCCTTTTATGAGCAACCGCTGTTCTACGTTGTACTTATTTGCTTCCTCTTGCTGTTCTGTAGCCTCCTTTACTCCTTCGGGTGTCCAGTTATCCGCGATCCTGTGCATCTTGAGTACCTTTGCATAGTTAATATTGCCTTCCGATTGGCGAAATATTTGGGCAGCTGCTTGTGCGAGAGCACCAGTTCTAAATGGTTTTCCACTATATGGGATTTGGTGTTTGGCAGCGGGAGGAGTGGCGCTGGCGGGGTCGACTTCTCCAAATGCTTGGAGAAAACGCTCAAAGTAATATCTGGCATCTAGGTTGGAGATATTACGACTTTCATCTATGCCCAATGCAGAATTCAATCTGCTTGCTAGTTTTATAGGCACTTTCTGTATCTCGTTACCGCCAAAAATCCCCACAGACTCCAAGAACTGAGCCGATGTCAACAGGGAATAATTGTCCAATGTGTCTGCAGGGCCAGAATTACTATCAAGGTCTTCGTGGACAGGAGGACTGCGTGGAACTTTGACGTCCTCTCCTTCGGGTTCTTCTCCATCCACTGACTGTCTCCGTGCATCCTCGACCATCCTCACGGCATTCAAGAAGTCATCCGCCTTCATCGACGAAGAAATGCCCAAGGGGTCTTCAAGGCCCGAATTACTATCAAGGTCTTCGTAGACAGGAGGACTGCGTGGAACTTTGGCGTATATTCTTTCGGGTTCCTCTCCATCCACTGACTGTCTCCGTGCATCCTCTGCCATCGTCACGGCATTCAAGAAGTCATCCGCCTTCATCGACGAGGAAATGCCAAAGGGGTCTTCAAGCCCCGAATTACTATCAGGCTCTTCATGGGCAAGAGGACTTCGTGGAACTTCAATGTCAGGCGCCTCGTCTACTTCTCCACCTACTAACTGTCCCTGTTCACTGCCAACTCTCCACGCTTCATCCCAGGAGACATCCGCCTTCACTGAGGAAGAAATGCCGAAGGCGCCTTCAAGGTCAGAATTACTATCAGGCTCTTCGGGAAGAAAACTACTCCATGGAGATCTGTTTTTATTTTCCGAAAACGGGTCCCACTTCAATTGCTCCAGGCGAAGAGTGACCATGCGGCAAATGGTGAGCAGCAGCTGAACGTGTTGCAAGAAATCCTTCCGCACCTTCGCAGAAGAATGGGATGGGAATTCACATTCTTGCATCTGAGCGACGTGTTCACTGATTGTCGCCAACGGACCACCAGTTAGCTCTTGTCCTTCGCCGTGCGACGGAGTGAAGTATTTTTGAAAAGCTTCTTGCGCAGGTTGTTCTAAGTAGTCCCAGGCCTCCTCCATCCCGTTCTTTACTTTGTCGAGATCATCCAAATACCTTCGTATGATTGCATCATCTGGAGAGAGCGAGGCTGCTTTGTTTTGGGAGCTTAACCTGTGGGGGCTTAAGCTGGGGGAGCTCAAATTAGGGGAGTTTCGCTTGGTAGATACCCGGAAAATAAACCCCGACAGGAGTACCAGTAAAAAGACGGCAAGCAGTGGTTTGGTCACCCCAACCTGCTTTCCCATAAATTTCTTTAAAGCGAATGTTCCATCCTCCGCAACAGTTTCGCTGGTATTTTCGGAGTTATGCTGGGCATCGGGGGGGATTGCGTCACCTGCTCCTCGTTGGCGGCGCAACCAATCCAACCATGTAAGACCTGCATCTTTCACCTCAACATGCATTCTCTATACGAAAAGGAATACATGACCGGGGAGCATACATTTGCCTTTTGCAAAGCAGGTGAACAATGGTCTAGAAGCACTTGTCGAAACAGAGTAAGATAATCTCTTGAAAAACAGAGTACGGAGTTGGCTGTGGTTGGCGTGGTGACGGTGGTGCTCACGTAATTCCCGTGTTGAAATTAATTCAAAAAAGGACGCTAGACTATAGAATATGTTTGTGTAAACACCAAAGTGCATGCGGAAACTGTTCAGGTTGGGGCACCGTTCCTGTGTGGGATTGGCGTGTCATTAAGCTGCGGTGTGGTCATCGACAGGTCTGAGTTGCTTGCAAGCGGTTCGTTCAACGGTGGACCATCCAAAGGAACTAAACAATTGAAAAGATATTTCTTGAAGTTAACTGGGTATGGTGGAGCTTGCTTGCTGCCGGAATTTCCTTACCATTTGTTTCGGTGTGGCATATACTTCTGTTGTGCAGTAAGGGGGTGTTACTGTTTGTTCACCGCCTGAGCTCTGTGGGTCCGAAAGAAAAATCACACAACCATGGACACCTATCCTCTTAAACATCAAATGGAGAGTACGAAATCATGGGTGGCCTTCCTAGGAGACAAACGCAAAGGTTCGCCAGTAAAAGTCCTCCAACTGTGTTCACGGTTTGTACATCGAGCCAAGAAGGCTTGTTTGTGTGTTGGGCCGGGGGTACTTTCCACCTGAAGTTCCAGCAAGGCGAGTTGCAACTCGTCGCATGCCTCCTACTCTCCCGCATCAAGGAACTTGAGCCGCTCCGCTCAACACGCCTGGAGAATGGGGAGGGAGTTCGGCTGCACTTAAGGAGCCTTTATGTTACGTATTTTGACATCAATGCAACTCACAATACTCCTCGAATAAGCCACAGGACCCGCGTAACCGTCACGGTCCTTCTATGAACTGTGGTACTGAAGCTGGACAGACGCACTGCGACATAGGTCTATTCTATGTCGGAATGGTAAAAGGCTATGGAGGAGTTGAGGGACCTCAAGAACTGGGAACCATCGACAGGTCGCTGCATTTAGCAGTTTCCAGCAAACTGTTGGACTTCTGTTCACCAATGCTTCTGAATGTAGCGTTCATGGATGGTTTCCAGTCCTTTAGGTTCCTCAATTCCTTCATAGCCTTTTCCCTTCTCGACCGAGAATAAACCCACATCGCAATGCATATGTCTAGCAGCTCCCATACTACTGAAGCGCTCCGGGAAAACAGTGGCGTGCCTTAGATATATCTCCTGCCTCCGCCTCTAATGACAAAAATGCAAGCAGAAACTGTACTCTGATGCTTGCTGGAGATGAAAATACGGTTCTGGTGGGGGAAATTCCCTTCACAACCCCCACACTACGGAGTTCTTCGTATCTGGAGGGTTAGCAAAAGCGGAGGCTTTCTTCGCGAGTTGGCTTGCTGCAAACAAGGCTCTTCGCCGCATGGGTCTGCGAATGCATAACGAAATTCGGCCACTCTCCCAACCGTTAGCTGACTTTCCACCTGAGTGCAGCTCCAAAACAGCCTTCATTTTGCAATAGGAATGAAACGCTCAAACGTGACAACGACTGTTCGGCAGTTTTCCTGTGCTGCATTCACCAGTAATGTAGACAATTATCAAAGACTTCTGCTTGCATGCAGGTAGTCTACTTGAGCGAGAGCTGCCCACAAAAGCCAGATAATTGCTCACACGCCAACACACACTTTGCTACACCATGCAATACAGGCCATGCTACACACCCCACCAGGCAACGGGCGTGTTGTTGGTCTTTCGCTGTGTCTAAGCATGTACCTGTGCACTTGGTACGTTGTGAGTACAACCATGGTAATATATGTGAAAAGCATTTGTCTTCAATTCTCATGCACATATACGTGCGGCCCTGAACATCTGTGAGTTTCCATGCTCATCCCATGCAACTGCATGCTCACAGAAATGCCTAAAGCCTTACATTATACACGTGCATACAAAAATTATAGGGCTGAAAATATACTCAAAATAGTGGAGGAGGAAGATAAGCTTGAACTCACAACAGTCGTACGGCAGGATTGTCGTCACTCAACACGCCACAAGCTTTGCCAGCGCCTTTGATGTACGGTTTCGAGGAGATGTGTTCGGAGTGTTGCGGCGTTATCTTGCAATAATATTTGTTTAGTTTTGAGTTAAAGCAATAAAATACAGTCTTTGTCGAGCCACTACCAGTTTTGCTTGTGTTTTGGGGGTTCAGTGTGGATCACTCCGGGGGCCCACGCCGCATGCCTTCTGCCTTCTGCTTTTCCCTCTCTCTCTGGCCTAGTGATTAGACGTATCGCTCCTTTGTTGTTTATTATTTGAGCTCCAAGGGGGCATTGCGTATAGCTAGGGATCAGGGTCCATTTTCAAAGACCCCTTTTTCTGCTTGCAGCGTTAAGAGTCTAGGGCGCGGAATTTTCATATCATTTGAGAGTCCCCGGTGAAGGGTGTAGCTCTAGGGAGAAGGAGAAGGCCTTCAGCATGCCGCTTATATACGCCCTCATTGCGAGGGGTGAGTCTAGAGGGGGAAATATCCAGTACTGCTGCTCCTGGAGGAACTGCTAGCCCCTCAGGTGTCTGTACTGGAGCGTTTGGTTGCTGCCGTGCGCCCAATAATATTTGTTTGTGTTTAGGGTTTCGTATTTGTGGTTTGTGCCCAGGCAATGTAGTGCTATGTGAGCACGCGGACAGCGAAGGGAACTTCCCCACTGTCACTCGGCTTCTTCTCTGCCGTCTCCCAACCGACAAGCAGCGCATGTCCTACATATACGACAGGTGATCCATTGGAGCACTTTTGCATGTTAACCTTTAATGGTGGGGGTTGCCGCATGTTATACGGCCTTGTTTTTCTTCCTTCTGGAGACGCATAGGATAGTGCAGTACAAAGAAGGAGATTGCGGCTTATGTGCTGCCGTTCAGCTTTTAAGGTTTTGGGTTCCTTCGCAGATTCGTCTTCCACTATATCGTGTGCGATGGGCTCACCTTTTTAACAATGGCCGATGATAGCGCAGGATTTGCGCTGCCATTCGAATTCTTGGAGGCTGTCAAACAGCAGTAGGCTGCTGCTCTTGCACCTTGAACAGCAATTGTTGCTCCCAATTATTTGTCTCCCTTTTCCGCTGTTGTTGAAGCTGGTGCTGCAGTTGTTGCGGCGTTTGCAGTTTGGAACGTGCTGCTGCATCTGATGGAGATTCAGCTGGTGCAAAGGGACCCTTGCTGTGTTGCATGCGCCACAGCCGCATCTCTTATGCTGCGTTTCCGCTTGCGTCCTGTCAGTTTCGTTGTTTTTGCTGCATGTGTTTTTTCCTTGATTTATTCATTCAACAATGTGTTGTAAGGGGCGTATTTTTGTTTGTACTTTGGGTTGACTGCTTTGGTTGCTACTGCAGATTCCTGCCACAATACCGCGATGCAGCCAAGACCGGCATCGCGTTGTCGCTGCAAAGCAGCTTCGAGCCTACCATAAAAACCATGCTTGTGAGGGTTGAGCCAGTGGACATAGGATTCATGTTTTGGCACATAGGTTATGGTCTTATGGTTATAAGGGTTTAGGGTTTTAGGATTTCCCATTTGATGGGCTTGTTCGCAGGAGTCGTTTAACTCCCACCAAACCCTTGATGATTTCAGACAAATTCGCACTCAGATTGACGGAATTCACTCCGTGATGATTGACAGCATCGGTAGGGTTGAGGGCTGGGGCAAGGGTTTCGTAGATGTGCGGGTTTGTAGTGGGTTTGTAGCTGGCAGTCTAGAAGTTGGGTGCTGGGTGTAGGGTTTAGTTCTAGGGTGTGTGGTGTGCGGGTGAGTTGTGTGCAGACAAGATTCTTCAACGAGGGGAGAGGATAGATCTGCTGGTGGACCAGTCGGAGCAGCTGAACCAGGAGGCTATAACGTTTAGACGCCAGGTAAGCTCGGCCTCAAGGGTCTATGGTAGTGGTTTGAAGGTTACTATTGCAACTTGTGGGTGATGGGAAAGCCGCCACAACGTGGCATCTCTGCCCAGCTGTGAGGGTTTAGCGTTTAGGGTTTTTCCGCAGGCCCGTCGTCTCAAAAATGCCCTGTGGTGGCGCAACGTGCGAATCATTGCAATGGTCATCAGCATTATCTCTGTACGTCTGCAACCTTGGATATTAGGGTTTGGGGTCCAGGTTCCAACATCCGCTGCGGGACACGGTCTTGCAAAGTGCCGAATGCTTTTCCCTGTTTTTTTTTACGGTGTCGTTCCTGCTCAGATGCTCTGTGTAATTATTGGGATGGTCTCTTGTGGCGGGGTCACCTTCCCGTCTTGCAGAGGATCCTGATTGTAGGGGGCCCGCGGCAAGAAACTAAACACTAAACCCCCAAACCTCAATTCCAGCACTCCTCCTTGTTTGCCGCACGGCACGAGAGATTCTGCACAAGAAATTCTGGTCCTGCAGCACTTTCTGGAAGGCGAACCGCTGCTGCTTCAATGCAGGGAGCTGCTGCTTGCGCGGCCGTTGGAGTTGCTGCTGCATGTTCCGATTTTTGTATATTTTGATTTGTGGGCTTCCGCGACTCCTATGTAGACAGCTTGTATGGAACGGCGGCACCAGACCTACCGGCCAAATGCAGCGGAAGCGGAAGCATTAATTGCATCAGCAACCCCAGCAGGTATGGATTTCTGCTACGGCAGCAGAAGACATTTACGCGATTTGCTTCTCCATCGGCAGGCCTTGCCGTATGACGCACCCAGCTCACAAACTGCAGTTGACGGGATCTGCTGCGTTGGCAGCGGCGCCTAACGGTACCAGCAGTAACTGCAACAGGAGCGCCTTCTGCGGTGGTACCAGCTTCTGCAGCAGCAACAACACATGCAGCGGTCACCGGAATACATGGGTGATTTGAAATTCTCGCGAAACAACCGATATATGTGAGGCTTGTTTCTTGCTTGCTATCAAAGGTTCTATGGGTCTTCATTAGGCCCTAGGCCCTCTCTTGGGGAGTGTGCCAACTTGCAACTTTCTTAATGTCTCAGTATTCTCCTGTTTTTAGCTACAAACTTAGGCAGTGTTCGAAGTTCTTGAATTAGGGGGTCTTTACTACTTCCAGAGATTGAGTACGACTCTCATCCGTTGCGACAAGTGTTTCCAAGACAGCACAGTGGGAAAGAAGTTCACATAGGAAAGAGCAAGACAGTAATTAGGGAAAAGAAATAAAAACACATAACCAGGTTTAAAGTGTTAAAACATACGGGGTGCGGGGTTCGAACCCGCGACCTTCTGCGTGTAAAGCAGACGTGATAACCACTACACCAACCCCGCGTCGATGGGAGTTTATTTCTACTTTCAACGAAGTAGTTAAAAGCTGCAGTAAAATGTCACAATTTCAGAGACTTATTTACTGTACTTGATGAGCGCCTGAGGACTAGTTGGATATTTCACAGAGAGTGAAGCGTACGTTGTTAGGGATCTGCCGTCGATGGTGAATGGCAGGTGGTGCTCACACGAGTCTGATGCAAGAGCATAAAAGTTGAACCCCACGGTTAGTATTTCACACAATAACATCATAATAAATAATTTTGCTCTTTATTATAGTGCAATGTATTGTATATTCGGGGGTGATAAGCTGACAACAGCATAGTGTTGCAGGAGGAACGTGACCTTGGAACTGCCGCCTCGCAACGCCTGGTAATATAGAATCGCCTTTCAAGGCCCGTTCCTTCCTGCATATATTACAGGATTCAGGATAAAAACTTGTGACAACAGATCCATTATCCTGCGCTCAATCCTTGAAGGCTGCCAATCCCATTGCAAACGCTAACCCCGCCCTCGACTAGCATAGAACACTGGTCTCCGTTCTATTTCCCATTGATGTAATCTGCAGATTTAGGCAGCTGGCAGAAGAAAACAGAAGCAGTCAAGGTACACTGACCTGGTCGTTCTCCTCTGTGACATTGTAGCCTGTGGCGCAACCCGCAGTGGGAAAGAACGAATTCGCGTATTATAAAACAGTCTGATGCCACAGGTTTGGCAACAACTGCAACAGTAATCACGCACCTCCATAACAAATCACGTGATGATGCAGCAGCAATGCACTCTTGCCCCCCATCTACACCGCCGTCCTTGCAACCAGTAGCACTGCAGATCACGCCTGCATCCTAGATGTTCTGCGGTGTTTTTGTGCGTTTTGCCTCCTATCTGGCCCTTTTACACAGACCACCGAAGTGCCTATGCGTAGTGTATATGCTCAATACTCAAATTGGTGATCTACGGGAATCTGTATGCTAGCATTCTACCTGACTCTGCTGGTTAGTACCACTTAGCTGCTGAAATAATAATCTTGACAACCGACAGGCCTGAGCAGCCTCAGCACTACTGTGCAGTTGTAATAAAGTCTAATCGAAACCTCAACAAGTGAACAGCAAATATACGCCACTTCACGAGAGAGTTGAGAGAAAGTAAACCTGCAAACTATCATGGCTCCACAGCCAGGTTAGCACGAGGGAACAATCTCCTAAAAAGGCTGAACATTGTTACTGGGGGAGGGAACGGCCATGCAGTGGCTCTTTCGTCCCGTGTACCTTTGGTGCAAAAGATTTAACCTTTTTGCAACAATGTACACAGGGGCCACACTGCACGGGTTGCGCTTTTGTGCTGAGGGTAAAGCCGCCTTTCTGTGGCCACCTTTGCGGGGCACAAAGAAATTGCAACTATTCCTTCTTTGGGGCTAGTGTTGACTTATAGTTGCTCCAGCTCTTATTTGTGGTGCCCTACTTTGTTCCTATGCACGCAATTCATTGCACGTGGAGAAACCAAACCGAAGAGGGAACAAGCCATGGAATAAAGAGGCTACAGGATAAAGATGCAATACATCAGAAGATCATCACGATGCACGTTCTTTCCCATTAAATCTTGCATAACGCTCCTTTTTAGATTTATGGATCTTGACCATGCTTTAAAGAAATCTTCTTGCTGCTTCTTTGCCGCCTCCAAGACACTTTCCGACGACCACATGCGTCCAATTCGGTGGAGCTTCAAATGAAACTCATTCCTTGGAGTGCTGAAGTGATCCGGATACATAAGCTGGAAAAAATCTCCAAGGATGGATGTTTTGAAGGTAGTTCCTGTGTAAGGAATAACGAAGTCCACCTTCTTCGCTGGGCTCAAGTGGAAAGGGCCTTCAAATGAACCGAGGGAACCTGCGAATGCCTCTAAAGCACTCCGGTTGTGGTCTATCCGTTGGCGTTCTAATTTAAGCAGATTCACAAGTGTGTCGCCCAAGCACCTGTCCACTTCCGGTAACTCTGCCAATTCTTCAGGCTTGAGTGAAGGCGTCACCCCCATCAATGTAAAGAATTCCACCGCCGGCATCTTCGGATTATACGTCCCCTCCAACTCCTCTAGACTCGGGAAGGCGTACCGCTCGTCAAGACCCTCAATTGGCACCGGTACGCCAACACGTTCGTTTTGTTGGAGCATCTCCTCCACCTCGTCTAGGCGATCGACGACGGCAATACAGAGGGACGTCAGCAGCCGCATTTGCAGAGCGTAGTCCTTCCTTCCCGTAGTATTTAAGGAAAATGGGACCTTACACTCAAGCATTCTAGAAATATGAGACCGCACGGTCTGCAAGGGATCAACAGGAAGCTGTTCATTTTCTGATGGGGACGGAATGAAGAACTTGGTGAAGGTTGTCTGCACAACAGGACTTGCCTGTTGCCATCTTTCCTCCATCTTCTTTGACGCTTCGACCAACTCCCCCTTGTACTTCTGCAGGTTGGAATCATCCAGATGTAAAAATGGTGTGTAACTGTGCAACTTCACATCTCCCATCGGCAGAATTGCCGCTAGCAGCAGAGCCGCCAACCCTGCACACAAGGCGATAAACGATTTAGCCGGAATCTTATCCCTTTTGGGCTTTAAAGGGAAAGCAACGTCGTCAACGTCTACATTGCTCTTAAGGGTTTCGTCTCCTATCGCCGCAGGACGCATGCTGCCCTGTACAATTTCTTTTTCCTGCCCCACCTGGGCTACGGGTACAGCTGCGTCAGTGTCCGTCTTCGCCATCCTCAACAAAAAAATAACTGCCGCTATCCACCAAGTACCACTGTTTACCTTGTTCTTGATAAGAGTTATACAAATGCCCTATGGGCTTAGGGAAGCTACAGGTAGATACGGAAGAATAAGGAGGCCAAGGCGCTCGCTCTCATGACGATGATAAAGAAGCGAGACACCGATGCCCACTAATGAACTAAAAATGCTCTGTACAAAATACAAATGAGGAAGAAATGAATAAATGATAAAAGTCCAACACCTAATCCCTCTGTTTAGTTGGACCTTTGCGGTTTCTGGATCTGCAGAGCGGTGGATCGTCTTGCTACGATACCGCTCTCGATTACCGGGCTTTTCCTTGCGTTGTCCTGCTACATTGCTTTTCTAAAAACCTGATGCTTTCTCCCTATTATTCATTTCTTAAAAAGAAACTTCTTATTTGTGGAGACATAATTGCCTCCCACTGTTTTATTTATTGACTACAAATTTACCTCAAATGCCCCAAATAGGATACCTGCATACGGTGGTCTAAAGTTTAGGCTGTAGTATAGGTCTTGGTTTTCTTATCCGGAGTGTATTATGAGTTGCTACAGCATCAAAGCAATAATGAAAAAAGCTTGTTCGAGCAAATAACATTCCTCCCCAATATCCAGACCTCACGAGCGGAGCTGCTTACGCTCCGTAAGCAGCTTCGCGCGCTAGCTGCGGTAGATAATAAAGGGGTCTTATATTTGGATAAAACGCCCGTTGCGACAGCTTAGATGCAAGACTGTCCCACATACAACCACGAGCAGCCTTCTTGAATGCATGCACAAACAGTGTAGACAATTGTTAAGGACTTCTTTGTCCGCGAGTTAGTTTCCTACAAGGGCATCCATCAGGTTAACCACTTCTGACGCACTTCCATGCAAACGTCACACAGACTTTGTTACAGTTTGCATGCAAACAACAAAGAAGGGTATTTTTGCCTTCACATTTGCAGACGCTTTGCAGGGTGCGCTGCAACTCATTCCCTCTCTTGCATCAACAGGCGCTTGGCTTAGGACAATTGAAGACTGGGAGGGGGGTTAACAACAAACATTTAGTGCTCCTCTAATGATTTTACATCCAATATTATAATAATATATGGAGACCTTTTCTTAAAGGGTTGGTTTTTATAAGAGTGATGCTTGTTTCTTGCATCTTCGCCACTACCAAGAATGGCGATGGGTCTTGACTGTTGTGGTGCAATGGACAAAATACTATCGACAGGAGTAAAGAGTTAATTAAAAGAATTAAACAATTTAAATATTTACAATAAGAGTTAATTAGAAAGCATCTAACCTCCATCCTCGGTCTCTATGCGTCATTACCGATAACAAGAAGACGTTGCAGGAGATGCAACATACCTAGCAGCAACTCACGGCAAAAGGTAGCCACGCATGCAGCACACAAACAAGGCGTACTTTCTGCACATCTTAGATAAATACTTTGAGAAAGTTCTCAAAGATATAACTCCCCCTATATATACTTATGTATGCGTGCATGGTATAACTTCGGTACTGGTGACGGATGTGGTGTGCGCTACGCACGGTCGCTGTTGGGGTGATATCTGTTACTCGCTGTTGCCTCTTGTTAGCGATGCGCTGCTACTATGTTTAATGAGATTTATTACTATATGAAGTCGAGGATAGTCGCTAGGGGCAAATGAGTAATAGGGCTTAAGGAAGCAAATCCGTAGAAGCAGCTAATCTCCGTAGTGCAGCTGTGGGATGATGGTTGGTTGCCTGTTTTGAGCTTATAGCTGCTGGCTGCACTAACAGATAGCGTGACCATATAGCTGCTGGCTGCAGTAACAGATAAAAGGGGAAATCGTTTGTAAGCTTTAGGCAATTCTTGACACTAAATCAACTCATGCAGCAAGGTGGCCAGTAGTACCAAACGTAAACACACCATGGAGCCTCCTCCGATGTTCTTATTAACATTGCATACAACTTTTGGATACATCTTCCTGCATGCTACTTGACTACTAAGACCCAGTAATGTTTATATTGTAGCTGCAGATACACTTTCCTACGACAGAAAGAATATGCAACACCACATTTCTAACTGCAGCACCTTCTGCAAGCTAACAACATCGCGGGAACCACAACAAATATGTCTTGCGATGCTTATACAGACTCAGTAGACAATTAATAAACACTTCTTATATATATAAATAGGAGAAGGTTTCCGATGTAAGACGGATCACGCTTCTAGCGGAGGACTGACTAAGACAAGGAAGGGAGTGTACCGCTGTAATACTTTGGTGCCCCCCTAATGTAGCTTTTGTTATATTGTCTACAGCAAAATGGGTGTAATGTAAAGGACAAAAGAGAACAAAGTACGCGGATAAAGAGGAGAGGCTTTTGCTAGTTGCTGCGGGCAGCGAGAGTAACATATTATTGTGCTACAAATGACCTTACTGGGGGATCTGAAATCCTGCAGCGACCGGTAGATAAACAAGGCGAAATAAATTATTTTACTGTTATTTAACACATTATAATCATGAAAAACACCACAATTAAGAACACAATTGCTATTTTGCAGCTGCGTTTCTGTGCATGGCATGGCCGCTACTGGCGCTGCAAGTCCGGCTGCTGCCTGTCGGCGTTATCGGGGTAAAACGACAGAAACAGTACTCTTGGAGCCTTTTAATGAGTAAACCGTAAACAATGCGGTTTATTTAAGGGGAAAATAGACCAAATTTCTCACCGTCGACTCATTTGTGTGGCTAACTCAAGGAAAACCCCACACGTCACCTCTGGGCTTCTGCTGGTGGTTGTCTGTTTCTTCTAAAGCCATTTGGCTCCTATTTTTGCTGCTCTTTTTGTTTTGCCCTATTGTTTTATTGGAAAAGTATTTTAAAAGGAGAATCCGCTTAATTATTTCCTTAAGACATTCGGCCTTCGCGCCCGCGCCGCCATCAAGAAGTCAACAACGGGTGACCCTGCTTCCCTATAACACGGCGGCCAATGAAACTTTTCTCAGCTTTCTTCTTCTTTTAATCTTCTGTTCAATAAAAGTAGATATTGGGTATAAAAGGAGGGTTTTGCAGGTGCAGCAACAGTACGATGATGGGCTGCAGCAGCTGCAGCAGCTGCAGCAGCCATCGTCCGCTGCAGCATTCTCCCTTAAAACAGACACAATTCAGCATACACCAGACAAAGTATGATAGCCGAGCATTCAGGCGAATGTTGCAACCTCGAGCAGCAGAGGATCGGAGGAAAATTCATAAGAAAAGTTCTTTAAATATCTTAGCAGCTAATCAGCAGCTGCAGCAGCAAGAAGCGGTGCTCCCTTACAGACAGCTCGACCCCACAGGCGTCTCAGCAGCAGATGTTGGCAATTCGGAGGCAAGAGGAAAGGCATTAGCAATACCTTCGGATTCAGCAACAGCAGCAGCTGCAGCAGCAGCAGCAGCAGCAGCAGTCTGCTCACAAGGACGGGAGGAACCTTGCTGCTGCTGTAGAGGTAAACACAAAATCCAAACTATTGAGAGGAGGGCAGCGAGGACAGCAGCAGCAGCAGCAGCCGCAGCAACTGCAGCAGCACCAATGTGCCTATCGAGGACCTCCGGTCGCTTGAAGACAATCGTAATCTTTGCTGCTTCAGTGCTGCTCCTGTGCTTCCTATGTAGCACAAGTGGTGCTGCTGCTGCTGAAGCAGCAGCAGCAGCAGCAGCAGCAGTACCTCAGGGTCCTGCAGCAGATCAGCAGCAGCGCTTCTACCAACGGCGTCTAAGCAGACGACTGCAGTCGTTGTCTTTAGGTGCTGCACAGCGGCAAGAGAATTTCCGGCGGCAGCAGCAGCAACTGCTGCAGCAGCAGCAGCAGCAGCTTGATCGACGAGTGCTGCAACAGCAGCAACTTCAACAGCAACAGTTCCTCCAACAACAGCAACTGCAGCAGCAACTACTTCAGCAGCAGCAGCAACAGCAGCAAGGCCAACGCCTCCCCTTAGGGTTAGGAGGACAGCAGCAAGTAAACCCCCAGCTCGGGACACAGTGGCAGCAGCAGGTGCTGCAGCAGCAAGTGCTTCAGCAGCAACTGCAGCAGCA